TCTAGGAAGGGTAGGGGAATGAGGAAAACTTCAACACTTTCCAAGTATGTGGATCAAAGAATGAGCAGGATTTTTAAGAGAGGGTATTCATATTAAGAAGTGTGTTTTAAAGAAAAGAAGAACTATTGCAATCTCTGCTATTTGTCTTAAACAAAGAGCTTAAGCTGAAAATAATAAAACTATCCTGAGATATAAAACTTAGAAGCAAATGGAGGTACACACACACACACACACACACACACACACACAGACAAAGTTTCAGAAGGGTAATGTCATCTTGGCTGTGTTCCAGTTCACAAATTCAGTATAAATCTATATAATGCTTCTGAAGAAATGTGAGTGCAATAGTCCCAAAAGAGGGTATTCTTGGTACACATATCTATTTCCATTTGAATCAATGCAAAGTTTTAATACATGGAGGACAGCACATCATTCCAGTTCTGATGCAGGGTCCAACAGTCTGGCCAAAGATAATCCCTTTCAGAGCTCATCCATAAATTCTAGGCTTATCTTTCACTATGCCCCAAATCAAAATGAGGTACAACCTCTCAATAAGGCTGGGACAGAGTAATTGATGTGAAAATTGTTTTAAAGGTGTTAGAAGAATGTTTTCTTAAACAAACCATACAGCAAAACAGAAACAAAAGAAAAGTATCCCTTTAGAAACCCCAGGTATAAGAGAAAAAAGAAACAGGATGGAAAATAATATATTTAAAAAGCTGAGTCTCAACTATTGTTGCTGGAGAAAAGGAGAGCCGAGAGAAAGAGGAGGGAGCCCATCTGTGAAGGTAATTGGGAAATACTACTGGAGAGATCTTCTCATTAACAAAAAGGAAAGCTCAAGGAACATGAAAACTCAATTCAGCAAGTGGCACAAATACAACCTCTAAGCCATTACTCTCCTCTTTTACTTCTCTAAAAAAAATCCCTAAATGGAACCTATGATAGATAGATCATCTTTCTGATAAGAAATTCACTCAGTGTTTTATGAAGATTCTAATAATAATCGCAGACTTGGAAAGGACCTTAGATGAAGTCAAATCCAACGTACCTCTTTTAAAAGATAAAGAAACTTAAGCCCAGAGGTTCTTGTTTTTAGTCGTTTGGCAAAGGAACTTCAACTCAAATCTCCCATTAAACAGGCTAGAACTCTTTCTAGTCTATAGGCAACCTTGAAATTAGGAGAGCTGGAATAAGAATTGCACTCTTGCCTAAGTAGAATAAGAAAAGGGGCAATGCCATACGAAAAGTCCATAAAAAGTTCAACAGCTGTTCACTATTCTTAATTATATGGTGACAGACTCAACTAATCAAGCCCTCTCTTCCTTACATGTCCTACATACGAGCTAACAAATTATGTATACTCAATACATGTTAAGACTTCAACTGCTTCAAAGTATAACACAACCTTAAACATGTTTCCTAAGTCCCCGGCACCAGTGAATTTGTAGTTTTATAAATATCATGGTGAACAAGAAATGCTGTCTTGTCACATTCAAGCCAAATAACAGCTGGACTTTAAAAATAAAATTTTGAAGGCATTTGCCTTTTATATTTTTAATTTCTGTTTTCCTTGCCTATGGTTTTGTCATATGATTTTGATGAGTGGTTAATACACATCCACAGCTGCCTCTTTTGGTGACCTTTTCCTCACTGTCTCCAGGCTCAGGGCTATGAAGCATGTCTACAAGTTGCTTACTAAGTGATATTGTCATTTTCATGGCTGACAGACATTTTTCTGGGAAGCCTGGTGGAAGCAGGGCCTCATCTTCCGGGTTGGCTTACTTTCGTCACTTCAGAAACCCCACAGGAGGATGGGGTAGATGTGGAGGGAGGGCATAGCCCCTTAAAATTGCTGTTTCAAAGCCAGAGGAAACCTGTCTGGACTGAGGGAGAAGACATCTGGGCCAGAGGCACAGTAGTTACCTATCAACTCAGCCCCGCTAAGGAGCTCTCACTCCGAATCCTCTATAGAGCACAAAGAAGTCCTGATCTTCTTAGCGCTTTTCTCCATGATAATTATGTGTGTACATATTTCCCTTTTAATCTTCTGTCTTTCCTCACTAGACCATATGTTTAAAGAGGTCAAGGACATCTCTGCTTTGCTTCCCATCGTTTGTTCTAAGTCTAGTTTAGGGGCTGGCACATGGTAGGCACTCAAGAAATGTTGGCTGGTTGTTTTTTTAGACCAAAGACTAAGTGAAGGAGCAAATAATTTTTTTAGTTATTCTGATACTTTAGTTTCTTCTTAATCTTACTGTTAAGGGAAATATGAAGGAACAAAGTAGAGAAAGTATCATGTGTACCTGTTATCTACTCTGACTTTAATATGAAGTGTAACTCCAGCAGACTTTGCAATCAGCTCAGCCTTGAACAGATGCCAGGATACATCCTTAAGTCAGCAGAAGGCTGCTACCCATGCTAGCAGTCCTCACAGAAGCACTGCACTTTGGTCGGTATTAGAACAGGTAACTTGACTCCATTCATGAACCCCCAAAAGCACATGAGGTCTCAATGGCAACTTCTGGGCAAGCTTCTGAAGGGAGGTTTTCACATGCTCCTTAAGCTCCTGGGCCACTACAGCCCTTCTACGATGACACTCATCAGGCACTGCTGCTATGTGTGACAGAGTAACATGAGAGTTGGCATATGGCATGACTTGCTATATTTAGGGCAGAGGAAATGGGCTGTACTGAGGAAGGTCACAAGGAGTTTGTTCAGAAAAAAGAAGGGACCATGTGTTTCTACATATACAGTAGGGGGCAGTATGGCAGGCTGCTTGAGAGAATCTCAGCTCTAACCTTAATATGTGGCTCATAGTGAGTAATTTAATTATTCTCAGCCTCAGTTTTCTCACCTGTAAAACGGAAAAAGTAATACCTTCTTCACAATGTGTATAAGGATTAAATGAGAAAATGGGGGTAAAAAGCTTAACATATTCTCTAGTATATAAACGCTTGATAAAAATGTTTTCTAAAAACAAAACAACCAGGGAAATTGGTTTGAATCTAGACAACCTAGGCGTTGAATAGAATATCCAAAAATATTTATATACAGTATGTTTCTCTAGAGTTAAATTTTTAACTTTTTCCTTTTATATAGTTAATAACTCAGACCATGATTTTTAACTTACCAAGCACATGATATCACTAACTAGATAATGACATTACAGAGAGATAACTGACTATATTTACACCAAATATGCAGTTAAGGAAGCAAATGAAAAAAAGTGAATGACAAATTGAGAAAAGTCTTTGACAGCACAGGTAAGGTGATAGAGCTCTGTAACGACCAGTCTGTTGTCAAATAAATAGACTGAATACTCCAAAGTAATGAAAAATATTTATTTCATTACATATGGTCAACAATTTAGGTACTCTACAGTACCGTCTCCCAATAAAATTGAGATGGGCCGGACCTGAAGTGCTTCCACACAGGCTTTTAGATCAGCCACAATTTCTGTGTTGCAGTCAGATGGTTAACTGTGCAAGTAACATCATTTGGACTTCCTGGCTTCCTAGGTAGAGGAACCTCAACCCTTATCAGTGGAAAACCTGCACTTTTAAGTGCCTATGAAAATATCGGGCTGTTGATAGACATTCTTCAAGGAAGACAGCAAGCATATTTTGAGTCCTCTTTATGCCTCCCTTCCTACCTATCTTCCCTCTTCCTTGTTCCTTTCTTTCCTTTCTCTTCTCTTCCCCTCCCTCCCTCCCTCTTTACTCCCATATACACATACACATCCTAATCAGAATTTATTTTAACACCTTGTCTCCCAAACTATCATCAAACATTAGTCTTTCCTACTAGTATGAAAAATTACCATTCTGAAAACTTTCTGAAGGGCTTCCTAATGTCTAATACTACTCATCTCTGAGTCCTCATTCCAGGGATTTCTGGGCTGCCTGGGATGGCCCCAGGCTCTCACTAGAAGCCATGCCCAGTTTAGACGCTGCTATGAAGTGTCTTCATGTGTTTTCAAGGGATTAGGGTCCTGGAAGAAACCCTGCCAGTTAAAGGGATACTAGTGAGATTCTTCCCCTTAAGCTAAAGAAGGACTTTAGCTGGGACCTGAGATGGGTGAAGTATCATGTTACTCTGAAGAGAACAAATTAATCTTCCCTGACTGGTGGGACAGATTCTGCCAAAGGAACAGCTAACGGGAAAACCAGTCTCTACTCTGTGATGACACAGTAAATAACCAGGCAACATTACTACTAAAGTGCTGACCTAACCCATAAATTGTACCCAGACTCTGGGGAGCAATTTCTGCTGATGTGCTGCTGTGCATTTAAAACAAACAAACAAAAAGGGAAGAGAAGTGAACAGGCATTGATATTGGTGTGGGTAAATATTCTGAGAGGAAGGCTGGTCTTTCTACCCAGACTTCTGAAAGACGTTAGTAATGGTTACTGCATAGGCACAGACTGGGCCTTCCCCAAGCAATTATTAAGTTTATGCTAAAACTGCTGCAAACTATCATTTAATCCCCAAAATGGTTTGATTGTACCTGGGAATCACTTGATTTGGATATGCTAAATACTCTGATTTGATCATTCCACAATGTATATATGTATCAAAATCACTTTATACCCCATAAATGTATACAATTATTACTTGTCAATGAAATATAAAATAATGTTTAAAAGTCCTCCTTTGTATGTTTTCCCTTTTTAAATGCAAATGCAGTGAGATGGATGAAACACAGAATTCTGCTGTTCATTGAAATGTAGAGGATCCTTTCATTTTAAAACTTTGATGGTAACTTGAAGTACTTGGATTGCTAAGTATTCAGTAATGTAAGATCTAGCTGCTTCTTAAAGTCTTCTACTATAATGCACAACATAACATACGTAGTTAAATAGTAACATTTCCTTTGCTCTGCCTAAGAAATCTAGCTGATGACTCCTATGAAAAACTATAAAGATCCTATATCTAGCTCAGACACACCTTTGGAAACACATGGAGCAGCAGAAAAGAGCTAGAGAAAAGCCACTCACCCTCTGCATCTTCTGGCCGAGTAAGGTCGATGACACCTGGGCCCAGTTTTCCATCTTCATTTGACTTTCCCGTTAACTGGGGTCCCAGATTCTCAAAGCGCGTTCTTTCCTAGAGGAACAAATAATCAGAGGTTTATTCTAGTTTCCAAAACAGCCACCATTTCCTTCCAGTTTCTATCTTACTTAATGGGCAAAACGTGAATTCAAAAATATTATTTCTGACCAACATGGACTCTGAAAATCTTTCAGGAAGATTCCGTTGAAAGCTGTTTGTGACACGGACAGCCCTTACAGCATCTAGACCACAGTACCTGTAGGGAAAGGAAACCTGTGACAGGGAACCTGCCAGAGCTTCTGTGCATATCTTCACTCTGTTGGATTTGCTCCAGTAATCTAAAAAGAACGCAATAGAGAGGGTTGAGCCAACAATGCAAAAACCTGAAAGAGCAGTTCCTATTGAAATAAACGGTTAAATTTAATGGGAGAGGAATTTTCTCATTTAGAGATCATAGTTTACATTGGCATTCCTGGGGAAATACAAATCAGAATTTTATGCACAAGGATTTCAAAAACAAGTATTTCAAAGCAGGCCAACCAGATAACGATTGATACTACTATTTTGTCTCAGAATTTCAACAGTGATTTTCTGGGAACTAAAAAGGAGGACATCACTCCTAGCCAGCCACGGTGCCAGCAAAGTTAAATATCCCTGCTGCTTTAGGAGGGAAACCTAGAGCTGTTTTACTTGTTCACCAGTTCTTCTAGGAGTAGGAGTCTGAAGCATCATAGTGAACACTCCCTCTGCAGCTCTCCGGATCAGTAGCAGAGGAGCTCATTGACCATCATTAATATGGTGTTCTTGTCTGCAGAAACACAGCGCATGTCCCCCTCTCGTCTCCTTACTACTCTCCTGACTCAAACTTGGCTTTGTGTTGTGCTTATGAATGAATGAAACCTTGTTGTTCATTACTATGAAACAATATTAAATGTCATGTCAGCTTGAATTTACAGACATGAAATAGCAGCTTCCAGCTCCGGGAATGGTTTCTGCATGTTATACTTAATGCATTATGCAGCAGTAGAGTGCTGATTGCTGTTCAGTCTATTGTTCAATGACCTAGTTCTGTACTGAGCATGTTCGGCATTAGATGGAAACACTCTGAGTGTTCTCTTCTGTAAGATGTTTAGAAACTTGGAAATATTCTTAAAGAGCAAACATACAATTACTTGATAGAGGCTGTGCCTCATTTGTACAGCCTGACTACATTTGTGCTTTCTAATATGATTATTTTTGAATATCATTATATTTCTATAATTAATTCCCATCAGTCAAATTGTGCAGGAAGTCTTCCAGTTCCCCTTCATCATGGAATATGTTGAAATCTGTGTTGGAAGAAAACACAGCATAAACCTTGCTTTAATCTACGCCATTTCTATGAAAGATTTGCAACAAAAATTACAATCACGAATTTCCCTAACTGGGTAATATACTCACAAGTTTAAATAGCAGTATGTGGGGAAACCTCTGATATATGACACTTATAAAAAACAGAATGAAAATAAAAACCAAATTAAGTGCGGTTCCCTAATATCTTCTTATGTGAAAACACTGGTGCACAAGAACAAATTAACCCAGATGCAGGACACAACAAAAAGCAACTATAAGCCTTGTGGGAGCTTCACACACAGTCAGGGAAAGGACAGCTGCTTTTAATCAGCCAATTTCTATTTTTGAGTAGCACTTTGGTTGTCACGATGTAAAGAAAAAGAATTAAAGTGGAGATGAGTAGTATCAGGGAAAGCAAAATATTCAACCTTTGTTTTATCACATTGTTTCGCATTTCAAATATTTGCATGTGAATGCTTTCCCTATGTTAAATGCAAAAGGAGTTTTGATGTGACACCTGCAATCTTCTTGGAAGAACAACCTTTAACTGTATTTTCATAGGGGGAAAAACAACTTTCTCTGAAAATCAACAGACCGTGCTATCTATCAATATGCATATTTCAAGTATCTTTCTAGTCACTCATTCTCTTTGATTTTACTGGAAAATATTCTCAGTAAAAAAATAAAATAAAATAAAGTTCCTGAAAGAATATCAATATTTTGACAAGGAAGGAGAAGAGGGAAAATTACATGCCATGGTTTGTAAAATCCTAAGACAACAAAGCTTACATGATGATAATATCTTTTCTTTTATAAAAAATGAAGTGCACTCACAATTCAGTAGTATCAGCTTGTTTTTAATCATAACAAAAAACATTCAGAACATTCAACAACACATTCACAGTGTCTTTGAAGTCATACATTTTTCTGACTTCATTGAAAAAAAAATCTGCAGAGATACTTTCCCTTTAAAATGTCAATATTTTGACAGAGTAGAAGTCAAGGAAGAATATCCCATGAAACACTTGTTAAATAGGAAGAAAATAAATCAATGATAGAAATTGTTTTTGGGCAGTGGGTTGCATTTTAGATTTGGTAATATTAAGCACTTGTGTTTGAGATTAAAGAAGGACCCTGCAAAGCCATGCCCTTTCATATAAATTTCCACCTAGTCTCCCAGAAGATTTCCTTCTTTTCTTCAAAGAATAGCTCAGAATATTCATTTGCCAGCCACATAACCATAAGATAAGAGGGCCTGATGTCTACAAGTTACGTCTGGGCAGCTGAGCTAAGCAAAGATTTTACCAGTGAGGTTGAACATTAGCCTAGTAAACACAGGATGTGGATGTGGGCACAGAGAGAAGTATAAAGATACTTTGGTTCCAATAAGCTTAAACTTCTGCCATTAAGTACCCATGAGCATGCCCCTATATGGAACAAATATAGACTGTGGGTGGCAAGTTCTTAAGTCCAAATTTCCACACACTTGAACTAGCTCTCACCACGTACATAGCTCCCAAGTAAGATATGTTGGAGATATAAGCAAAATACCTCAATGCTAATTTAATCCCACCCCTTCCAGGAAAATTGCCCCATCTTCATGTTGACAGTGGATTTTACATGCAGCAATGTGATCAGACACTTACTTATGCATTGTCAGTCACAAACAGGCAGGCAACATAAAAGTTATTGAAAAAAAATTAAAGTCAGCTCTGCTGTGTTGTAGGACTGTTGGCTCTCTAAGTGCTTTGAAATTATGATGTATGAAGTAGATGTTGCATATTAAATAAAGATATTTAAATGATAAAGCCCCCTTTAGTGGGAGCTGATGAATGTTAAATGTTACAAGCCACAAGCCAGTAGCATCCATCATCTTCACATATTATCAGAGTCAATGACGGGGCAGCCTCACTGATGACAGATAGACTGCTGCATTATTATCCCTTATTTCCAGAGTCACTGAACAAACCATTCAACTCTTCTGGCATTATTTTTAACTTTGCATTAAATTTGCAACTTTTCCCTCCCTACCATGGCAAGATTGATCAATTTTGTCTTTGCATGGGTGGAGAGAGAGGATGAATTTGGGGTAACTAAAAGAACAGAGGTTTGTTTTCATCTAGGAAAAAAATCAACTTCCTCTTACTGGCATCAAATGTAAAATTGTGATCTGGGGAAAGAACAGCAATGAAACAGCAAGCACACAATAATGGCTTTTCTTTGCACTTAGATAAAAGCTGAATTTTTGATGTGCACAGTATATTTTAATAAAATTTTATATACTATGTTTTATACACTTATTGGCTATTCCATAATAATGTGTGTGCTAACAGTAAAATTGCTCTTAAATTTATGTGTGTTATTTATACGTTCCCACGTAACAATGCTTTTTGTTGTAAAAAATATTCTGTTTATTAATGGAACTTTACAACCACTGCATCCAAGATCCGTGGTAAATTAATGACATTTTTATTATTTTATAGTGTCATTAAATTTTTACTGATCACTCCATCAAACAGAGGCAGTAAAGGCCATAATGTAAACTGGGACACTTAGATCAGGCAGCAGGAAGACATTCCATATAGTCTGAAGAAAACTGCTAGCAATAAATGATATTTATACCATCTTTAAGCATGTGAGAATACTTGGATAAGTTTGGCAAAACTGTTTCAGTAGTAGAGTGGATTGTGTACTTAAATAACAGTTTGCTTGCCAGAGAGACAAGTCTTTTTCAAACCATATGCAAAGTGACTGATTGCAGCCATCTCCTGAAAAACAACATGTGAAATGTAATGATGTGCTGGGTCCCTCCCTTCTGCATTACCAAGACTGACCAGCATGTACCAGGCCTCAAATTATTTCAACATGGTCCTCTTTGCCACAAACTGAAGTGGAAAATGGCACACACTGAGAGAGGTTTTTTGTTTGCTGCTTTACAAACAAATATATTTCATTTAAGTACACATGTCTGGTCAATGATGTGGTATATTTCATTCCAATGGTCTGAATGAGAGGTACTTTACCAACCTTTATTCAAAGCTCATTTCTAAGGGGTGTCTGAATATGGAGGATCATTCATGGCAGCCATGGAACATACAACTAATGGGCCATTACCTATAGCATAGTTAAAACAGGTAAAAAATGATTATCTCATGTTATTTTTATGTGTAAAATGCATGATAATTATGATACTCTCTACATTGACTCTCTTAAATAAACCTAAATGTGTGTTATTAACTAATTGCCAAATATTCTATTTATGTATATATAGAAGAGTAAATAAATTCTATGCTCATATAATTATGGATTTAGAAACACCTAATTTCTACATGGGCATTCTGGTATGATTCTTTCTTAGGTAAATAAGGATTTTGTTGTTGCATCCTAAAATACATATTTAAATATTAAAGACTTAAAAATCTTTCAAATGTGTAATGATAAGGAATTTTGCAGGGAAGGTTAATACAGCCCCACTAATCATGTTTTGTGTGTATTCCTAAAGCAGAATTTTCTAAGAAAAATAACAAATATATGTATTATGAATATAAGTTCTCTAAGGCCATGACAATATTCTGAGATAATATCTTATCCTCAGAGTTTCAGCTATGTCTAGGTTATTGAGTGTAAGCTAAATAAGTTTTGTCATTTTCATCCTAGCTCTTAGCTTCCATTTTTATGAACGTTTGATTTCCATTTTGTATTTTGATGTATTTCCAAAACTC